AGGATTAACACCAAAGATCCCCTGCGCTTCACAAACAAGGTGTGATCAGATTGAGTTTGAGTGTAGCCAAAAACAATCAGGGCCTTTCTGAATCTATCAAACCATGCTCGGGAGATTGTTTCAAGCCATATAGTGACTTCTTCAGCTTGCATACCTTTTCCTTTTCAGCACTATCATAAAAACCAGGTGGAATATCCATATACACCTCTTCTTGCAGATCCGCATTTAGGAAAGCATTCTTCACATCCAATTGAAACAAGGGCCAAGAGTATGAGGCAGCAARAGAAAGGAGTATCCGAAYAGAGGTCATCTTTGCAACTGGCGCAAATGTCTCTAGATAATCAATGCCATAGGTCTGTGTGTACCCTTTTGCAACAAGTCTTKCCTTGTACCTCTCTATACTTCCATCTACCTTATACTTTACTGTGTAAACCCATATGCATCCAATTGTCTCCTTGCCTTCTGGTAGGTCCACAATCTCCCATGTCTGATTCTTAATCAAAGCCTCCATCTCTTCCTGCATAGYTGTYTTCCACTYAGGTTTGGAGAGARCCTCACTAACACYCTTGGGTATAGACACTGAATCAAGAGAAGAGAGAAAAGTACGGTAGGAAGGAGAAAGTCCACTGTAGGATAAGTACTGTGAAATACAATGAGCAATGCACTTTCTCTTCCCTTTTCTAAGAGCAATAGGGAGATCAAGGTTATCTGTAACAGTGTTAGTAGGACCAATGGGAAATGAAATAGTAGTGGGATCAAGAGGAATACCTGAATCTGTATTAGCCGAATCTGGAGTCTCCAAGGGATCATCGACAGGAAGTGGTGTGAGTTCTGCTGTAGCGGAATCAACTGCCTTATGAAGTCTCTGCCATGAGTAATGCTGTGAGACAGAATGCAAAGGAGGTGGCAAGGTAGGTGACATCGGGTGGTGGTCAACCACAAGAGTAGACGCAGGGACTGGAACTGGGAGAGGGATAGACTACTGACTTACTTCCCCAAAACACTCCCCCTGAGAAGGATTCCTTGAGAAGAACATAGATTCAAAAATGGTAATGTCCATAGTAACAAACCGGTTCCTAGAGACTGGATCATAGCAACGGTATCCTTTCTGATTCTCTGCATATCCAAGGAAGACACATTTCTTTGCCATGGAGGACAGAGGATAAACAAATGGAATCATTAATCTTGACAGATCCCTTCCTAGCAATAGGAACATGGGATCCATCAGCTGTGGAGACCCTATCTCTGCCAGAACAGAGCTGGTAAGAGGAGAAAATAGTGGAGCAATGGGTCATGTGCTCTGAGGCTCCAAAGTCTATAATCCAAGGAGATCTCTCCTTACCTGAAGCAGAAACATATTTTGCAGTGACATGTGAACTACCTGTGTGGGCAAAGGAGGTAGAGTGAGCTCCACCTGTGCTACCTGTACCTTGTTGTATCCCTCTGATTCAAAAGTAACCCAAACCTCTCAAGCTCGGCCCTTACTACAGCAGCTGCAACGGACTCCAAAGCAGCTGTAGTAGGGGGGGCCGGAGTGTTACCAGTAACTGCCATGTGCGCATTTCCTTTCTTATTCTTCAATCTCGGCACAAGATGTGGGTGAAGCTTCCAACAAGTATCTCTTGTATGCTTAGGCTTCTTACAGTAGTCACAGACTAAGTCCCTTTTGTTTTCCTTCATGTTTTCATTGCCATTCTGTTTATATTTCACAGCACTTACCATAGCGGACTGATCAGAAATGAGATTCTTCATCATTACATCCYTCCTGCACTCCTCTCCTGAYACAAAGGCATATGCTTGGGAGAGAGTGACACTGTCCCTGGAAAGAAGATGCTGTCGTGCAATGTCATACTCAGGGTTAAGGCCAGCAAGGAATTCGAACACCCTATACTTCTCTAAGTGTCTTTGATAGGTAGCTGCATCCTTGGTGGTTTCCCAAGCAAARGTCTCTAGATGRTCRATCTCCTGCCACAGGGTCTTAAGGACTGAAAAATADGCTGCAACAGATCTATCTCCCTGCCTWGTAGCAATAATCTGATTTCTCAGTTGATAAGCCCTAGCAACATTCTCCTTTTGTGAATAGGTTTCTACAACCCCATCCCATATCTCCTTAGCAGTATTTGCCCATAAAAAATTTTTACTTATATGTGGCAACATGGAATTACACAACCATGTCATTACCATATAATTTTCCTGCACCCACCGGGAGTTGCCAGTTTCAGGTTTCACCTCTTCACTAGTAATATAGCCCAATTTTCCATGAGCCCCAATGGCCATCTTTGCAGATTGGGACCATTCCAAGTARTTTGTACCATCCAACCTAACTGTAGTAATGGTCCCAGCTCCGAAGGGGTCTCCAGCACCTCCTCCCACAGGTCTCATTTCATTCTCGGGCTTATATTCAACTCTGTGTCCCTCCATGCTTCTCAAAAGGGTATAGAAAACAAATAAAAAATGCAGCAAGAACAAACAAAACACCTTCTAAAACCAACGACACTCCTTCGGTGTCCTGGACTTTCTTCCCATGAAAGATTCATTTTCTGTGGGATGGGAGAAGAGAGAGAAAAAGCAACCGCCCTCTCTAGAAGCCTCCAAACCACGTGGGACTTGAATCGACCCTTATAAAAAACTCCAAGGAACCCTAGAAAAATAGGGCACCACTATCTAGGTCAAAATTGAAGAGTCCAACAAAAACAGGACTCTTCCCCTTTCTCCAGTTTTTCCTGATTCTGATGAGAAACCCTAGACCAGCTA